TTGTTAGCTATCACCATATGATACTAACAATGATAATGAATAATATTATGTATATATTAATAAATACAAAAATAATGCGTGTACATCTGTAGAATAAGAATAATAATTGAAGATAAATGTAAAATAGACGTATGCGAACCGAATCCATGCTTGAATGGAGCTAAATGCGTCAAAACACATTCCGGCGCATCACGCTTCTGCGAGTGCAAACCTCAATTTAGCGGTGATTATTACTCGCATTATCATTAGTATCATTTATTTTTGCTGCATTATTGTAGATTTATAATACCCATTATTATTCCTATTATTAACATTAATATTGCTATCATTACATATAATATATCAATGTAAAGATGATCAAAATAAATAAAATCCATGAGAGAATGTACTGAATGAGATGATAGTTAGTTAATGAAATATTCAAAGATTAATGAAAGAAAGATTACTTGAGTTGGATAATGAATTTACATGTGATGTTTTTGAATGACTAAAATTATGAATATGATTTTTTGAAAGAATTTATGAATATGATTTTAATTATAATATCGATGAATATTCAATTCTCGTAAGATCACTTTCTGAGATGAATTTGTTTCATGACAATTAACGTGGTCTCCAAAAGGCAGCAATATGTGATCAATGTGATCAGTGATAATTCATGATAGCATCAGAAAATAACAATGTTAGCATAGCGACTGATTACTTGCTCAGTTTAAGAATTGAATTTATCGTTGCGGGTTGCACACCTGATTACATGTCATAAAACCTATCGCAAGAAAATATAAATGAATATTTGTACGGAGTAAAATGAAAGCTGATTAAAAAGTATATGAGAATTCAGGTGAATTGTGTGAGAATGAAGCGGGATGCAGCGAGAAATGGTGTGCGGAGCGATGTTATAATAATGCAACATGTGATAAAGGTAATTACAACTTATTTGTTGCTACAAATTTGTTTTCAATTTCGTATTTGATATTGCCGTTTATCGATGATGATAAATCATATTGTATGATAAGCATTTTGTTATTTCTCTCTTTTAACAAGGCATGAATATTTCTGTACATGTTTCAACTTTCCAAAGTCAATTTCGACTAATAATAATAACAATAATAACAGTAATAACAATAATAATAAATAATAGCAATCAAAAATAAGAATATCAGTAATACTAATAATAATCATAATCATAATCATGATAATTTCAGATGATCTCGAGCGTGGGATAGTGGTACTTGAAGGTGATGACGTTATTCGATTGGAAAAAGTTAAGATCGATGTTCGTCGATCGATGGATATCGATATCTGGTTGAAGGCGTTTGATTCGGATGGATTGGTATTCTATTGGGCCAAATTGAAGGAAACGGGAAACGGTTCGAATGCACGCAAACAGTATATGAAGGGCGATTTTATCGCTTTGCTTCTGATTGCATCACAACCGCACTTCTTTTGGAATCTCGGTTCAGGAATCGCTTATGTTAAGTCAGTTTTTGATATATTTATTACTATTACTTTGGTGTTAGTGTATAAAGATTCATAAATAATAATATCAATTAATCAAGTTAATCGAATTCAAGAGCACCAGCTACATTATCAAACCACCGTTTTCATTCGATTCGTTTCACAAGAAATCTCCGAAATGGTACAATTCAAGTGGACTATTCTCCATTCATTAGTCATCAAATATCTTTGGTTGGTTTTTAATTATTTTAATAATAAGAAATAACATTATTATTTATGGTCATTACTGTAATTGTTACTTTATTTATCAGTATCCTTGCTGAATAACAATTTATATCTAATTGAGAGCAATTGTATTATGAAAAAGGTAAGTTCTTGATCAGTAACAGCAAAATAATGATAACAACAATCTTAATTACTATTATCAGTTCATCTCCAGTTAGAGTTCAATGTCAACAATCCATCAAAATTATCGAACCATTCCATCCATTTTCATCAAATGAGTATTAAAAAAATACCATTCGGCAATTATTCGTGAACTATGAAGAAATAATAATAATTTGAAGGAAATATTTGGGAAAAAAATTAATTTTTCATGTCTACTAATTCCTGTCAAATCATTAAATATCACTACTTCCCATCCACGTTATGCGAAGCAATGTTCTGGACAATTTTCACATTCAAGTTCTTTATTCACGAACTTATAGCAACTGCGCACTCAAATCATATTTCAACTGTATTAATTATTACAAAACTATTATCAATAATAAATTAATTAAATTTAAGCCAAAAAACAATCATTTGGATGTATTCGGTGAGGACATCTATATTGGTGGAGTGCCCAATGATCATTTGATACCACCCGTCATACCCGAAATGCGTAAACGTTTCAAGGGTGTCATTCAACGAATTTCAATTAATGGACAGATCTTCAATAATCTCTTCAAGGTTATTATTCATTATGTTGAATATATTTTTGATTATTACAATAGATATATTATTTATTATACTAATCAAACTATATAATGCTAATTAAATCGTAAGCATCGAACAATAACACCAACAGTTTATCTACAACCAATAACGATCCACATTTAATTCAATTTGCATCACTAATGACAAATGCCACGAATAAATACAAATGGATGTTCATCAGGATTAATTTATTTGTTGATTATATCATTCATTTTTATTATTCATCATTACTGGTGACTATCACTTTAATAGTTGTCATTCTTGAATGCTCATTTCCCAAGTCGATACATTGCAACGGCCCTCGCTCGGTTTACCTTCAATTTTATCAGTTTATCTCATGTCACCAATTATTTCGAATACATATACATATAATAATAACCGAATATTTAATAAATATAATAATAATA